GTTTGCTCCTTGGAAGGAAAGTTATGGCCAACCTAGACTGCATATTAAAAAGCAGAGACATTACTTTGTCAACAAAGGTCCATCTAGTCAAGGCTATGGTTTTTCCAGTAGTCATGTATAGATGTGAGAGTTGGACTATAAAGAAAGCTGAGTGCCAAAGAATTGATGTTTTTGAGCTGTGGTGTTGGAGAAGACTCTTGAGAGTCCCTTGGACTGCAAAGAGATCCAATCAGTCAATCCTAAAGGAGATCAGTCCTGGTTATTCATTGGAGGGACTGATGTTGAGGCTGAAACTCCAATATTCCCCTGATGCGAAGAGCTGACTCATTTGAAAAGACACTGATGCTGGGAAAGATTGAGGGCAGGAGGAGAAGGGGATGACAGAGGATGAGATAATTGGATGGCATCACCAATTCAATGGACATGGGTTCGGATAGACTCTGGCAGTTGGTGATGGACAGGGAGGCCTGGCATACTGCAGTTCATGGGGTCGCAAAGAGTTGGACACGACTGAGTGACTGAACTGATACAGAGAAAAAAAGCAGATTTCTATGTATTAATCTTATATCTTGCAATTTTGCTGAATTCATTTATTACTTATAATAGTTTTTTTGGCGGAAACTTAAAGGTTTTATACATTGAGTGTCTGCAAGTAGTGACAATTTTACCACTTGCTTTTCAATTTGGATGACTTTTATTTCTCTTCTTTGATTTTTGTGGCTAGGACTTCTGATATTATCTTAAATGGAAGTGGCAAGAGTGTGCATTCTTGTCTAAGTCCTGAACTTAGAGGAAAGGCTTTCAGTTTTTCACTAGTGAGTATAAAGTTGGCTGTGGATTCTACCTAAATGGCTTTTATTATCTTGATATATGTTCTCTGTCTACCTAACTTATGAGAGTTCTTATCATGAGTGAGTATTGAATTTTGTCAAACATTTTTACTGTCTATTAAGATCAACATGTAATTTTTATCCTTCCTATTGTTAATGTGCTATTACATTTTGCTATATTTATTTATTCATTTATCTGCGCCAGACCTTAGTTGTGGCTTGCAGCCTGTGGGTTCTTTTTAGTTGCAGCATGCAGGATCTTTAGTTGGCATGCAGGATATGTAGTTGTGACCTGCGAACTTTTAAGTGCAGCATCTGAACTGTTAGTTGTGGAATGTGGGACCTAGTTCCCTGACCAGGGATTGAACCCAGGCTTCCTGCTTCAGGAGCATGGAGTCTTAGCCACTGGACTACCAGGAAAATCCCTACATTGTTTAATTTCAAATGTTGAATCATCCTTATGACCCTGGAATAAATCCAATTTGATCATGGTGTGTGAACTTTTTATATGTTGTTGGATTTGATTTTGCTAATATTTTTGAGGAATTTTGCATCTATATTCACCACAGATATTGTCTTGTAATTTTTTTGGTTGTTGCATCCTTTGGTTTTATTATCAGGATAATGGTGGCCTCAAATTAATTTCCCTCCTTGAATTTTTAGAATGCTTTGTGAAGGATAGGTATAAGCTTTTCTTTATGTTTGGTAGAACTCCCCAGTAAAGCCAACTAGTCCTGGACTTGTGCTTTCTGGAAGGTTTTTAAATTAAAAATTCATTCCACTACTAGAGATTGGTCTGTTCAAATTGTCTGTTTCTTCCTGATTTAGTCATGGCAGCTGGACAAGCCACCTATAAATTGATAAAGTTAGAACACTCTCCCACACTACACACAAAAATAAACTCAAAATGGCTTAGGGACTTAAATATAAAACTTGACACCATAAAACTCCTAGGAGAGAACATAGGCAAAACATTCTCTGACATAAATCAGAGCAATGTTTTCTTAGCTCAGTCTCCCAAGGCAAAAGAAACAAAAGTAAAAAATAAACAAATGAGACCTAATCAAACTTATAAGCCTTTACACAGCAAAGGAAACCACAAACAACTTATGGACTGGGAAAAATATTTGCAAATGATGTGACCTATAAGGGCAGAATGTCCAAAATATACAAAGAGCTCATACAGTTCAATGTCAAAAGACCCCAAACAACTCAATCAAAAAATGAGCAGAAAACCTATATAGACATTTCTCCAGAGAATACATACAGATGGCCAACAGGCACATGAAAAGATTCTCAATATCACTAATTATTAGAGAAATGCAAATAAAACCAAAATGAGATTCACCTACATTGTTAAGAATGGCCATCATCAAAAAGTCTACAAATAATAAATGCTGGAGAGGGTGTGGAGAAAAGGGAAGACTCTCATTTTGTTGCTGAGAATGTAAATTGGTGTGGTCACTATGGAAAACAGTATCAGTACAGTTTAGTTGCTCAGTCGTGTTGGACTCTTTGTGACCCCATGGACTACAGCATGCCAGGCCTCCCTGTCCGTCACCAACTCCCGGAGTTAACTCAAACTCATGTCAATTGAGACAGTGATGTCATCCAGCCATCTCATCCTCTATTGTCCCCTTCTCCTCCTGCCCTCAATCTTTCCCAGCATCAGGGTCTTTTCCAATGAGTCAGCTCTTCATATCAGGTGGCCAAAGTATTGGAATTTCAGCTTCAGCATCAGTCCTTCCAGTGAACATTCAGGACTGATTTCCTTTAGGATGGACTAGTTGGATCTCTTTGCCATCCAAGGGACTCTCAAGAGCCTTCTCCAACACCACAGTTCAAAAGCATCAATTCTTCGGCGCTCAGCTTTCTTTATAGTCCAACTCCCATGTCCATACATAACTACTGGAAAAGCCATAGCTTTGACTAGATGGACCTTTGTTGGCAAAGTAATGTCTCTGCTTTTTAATATGCTGTCTGAGTGAATGAAGTTGCCTAGTTGTGTCCAACTCTTTGCGACCCCATGGACTATAGTCTACCAATCTCCTTCATCCATGGGATTTTCCAGACAAGAGTACTGGAGTGGGTTGCCATTTCCTCTAGGTTGGTCATAACTTTTCTTCCAAGGAGCAAGCATCTTTTAATTTCATGGTTGCAGTCACCATCTGCAGTGATTCTGGAGCCCAAAAAAATAAAGTCTGTCACTGTTTCCACTGTTTCCCCACCTATTTGCCATGAAGTGATGGGGCAAGATATCATGATCTTAGTTTTCTGAATGTTGAGTTTTAAGCCAACTTTTTCACTCTCCTCTTTCACTTTCATCAAGAGGCTCTTTAATTCTTCATTGTCTGCCATAAGTATGGTGTCATCTACCTATCTGAGGTTATTGATGTTTCTCCAGGCAATCTTGGTTCCAGCTTGTGCTTCATCCAGCCCAGTGTTTCTCATGATGCACTCTGCATATAAGTTAAATAGGCCTTGACATACTCCTTTTCTTATTTGGAACCAGTCTGTTGTTCCATGGCCACTTCTAACTGCTGCTTCCTGCTCTGCATACAGATAATGCCATAGAATGCCAAAGGAAAATAGTATGGTGGTTCCTTAAAAACTAAAAACATAGTTATCATATGATCTAGCAATCCCACTCTTGGACATATGTTCATAAAAGACAAAAACTCTAATTCAAAAAGATATAAGCACCCCATGTTCACTGCAGCACTATTTATAATAATGAAGACATGGAAGCAAACTAAGGGTTCATCAAGAGATGAACGGATAAAGAAATGGTAAAAGGTGAAAGTGAAGTCTCTCAGTTGCATCCAACTATTCACAACTCCACGGACTGTAGCCTGCCAGGCTTCTCTGTCCATGGGATTTTCCAGGCAAGAGTACTGGAGTGGGTTGCCATTTTCTTTTCCAGGGGATCTTCCCAACCCAGGGATCGAACCCGGGTCTTTCCGCATTGTAGGCAGACGCTTTACCCTCTGAGCCACCAGGGAAGCCCCAAAGAAATTGTACATAGACATATACACACTTGATTACTCAGCCATTGAAAGGAATGAAATACTGCCATATGCAGCAACATGGATGACTGACATACTAAATGACAGAGAAAGACAAATATTCTATTATATCACTCACATGTGTAATCTAAAAAAAAAATTGTACAAATGAACTTAGTTACAAAACACAAATAGACCCATAAACATCCATAGACAGAAACTTATGGTTTACCAAAGAGGGAAGGAAGGGATAAGCTAGAAGTTTTGGATTAACAGATACACAGTACCATATATAAAATAGATAAGACAACAAGGACTTACTATATAGCAAAAGGAACTATAATAATAACCTATCATAATAAAGTTATAATAATCTATTATGGAAATGAATCTGAATATATATATGTGTGTGTGTGTGTAACTGAGTCACTCTGCATATACCTGCAACTGACACAATATTGTAAATCAACTATACTTCAACTAAAGAAAAGATACAGCATTTTTGTATGGATGGTATACACTCTTTAAAAATATGCATGACTATGTTGTACACCTTAAACAAATAACATATTGCAAGTCAACTACACTTCAATTAAAATATATATGTATATCTAAAGGTTGGCATTTGGCTGCAACTGCAATTTGAAATTTGGCAGCTTAAAATTTTTCTCTTCCTAGATGTTGTATATATACATAGGAACCTTCTTTCTCAAAATATTTCAGTGAAATTGAATAGACATTAAATTTCAAATATAATAACATGGATCTCTACTTTTATATTGACAGCTTTCTAACAAATATCAGATTTCACAGTGGAAAAATAAAACTGTTTTTCCAGTCTATTACAGACAAAACCATCAATGTCAGTTATGGTCCAGAAAATCCAATTTAGGATTTGTCTGAGAAGAACATACTTCCTCCTCCTCCTCAGAAAAGGGTGGACCCCATGGTGCAATCCATGATGCATGACAATGTCTGAAGCAGGAATACATATGAACAATGCATGTGCATGCATACAGCCATGCATTTCAAGAAAATATCAATAGAAAGGGACTGCAAGGTTATCTAGAGACTGTTAGGCAGATCTATTGTTAGCCAAGCAACTCTATCTGCCCACTCCAGGAAATTACAGCCTTGATGTTAATTATAGCTATGGAAGTGATACCTGCAAAATTAATTTTTATGCTGTGCAAATAGTTAGGTAGATACACCAGGGAGAAATTGCCACTGATACAGAAAGTAGTTCCTCCAGAGTCCAATGAGACCATCTGTGCTTTTTCCTGAGATTTTTCCTTTGGTTACATTTGAGCTGCAACATCCACTAGTGGCAAATGTTCTTATTTCTAAAAAGAACACCAGGGGAGAACAAAATGAAGTATTTTTTCCTTGTGACTGTCCTTATTAGTATGTATGCTCAAATGCATCAAACTAATGAGGCTGCGTCATACATGGAACAGCTGTATTGAGTATTCTGGAAGTTTCAGTACATTGGAAGGATAAAACAAAAAAAAGCTATTAGTTAAACACAAGTAGTCATAAAGTAATAATGAAGACAGTCAAGCAATATGTTGACTTCACTAATAACTACTACATGTGGTGCAAAGAGTGGAATTTTAACATATTCATTTGTTTCCCCAAGCATAAATTACTAAAAGCTACATTTGAAACACAGGGCACGCTGTAAAAACTTTTTCCATTACAAAGTGTGATCCTAGTACATTTAAATTCTTCTTTTTTATTTAGAAACAGGACAAAAGCATGTTAACTTCTAATACCATCAATATGATGCTCAATTCATTTGCTTACTCTTAAGGTTAAAATAGATTATATCACTATTTTGCACATTTAAGTGAAAAACCCAATGAAAAATAATAAACTTTGGAGAAAATACTAAGTCCTTAATCTCTATCCTCAATATACAATTGTGAAATTGAACTCATAATTAAATCATGCCATGAGCATTCCAAAATTAAACAGAAATGACAATTATATAATTACAAATGGGAAACAAGAAATATTTAATCCTTTTGGCATTGTTGCTTAGTATATTCCATTATTAGCTGAATTTTTTAAATCACAATAATCCTACAATCCCTTCTGGTTCCTGTAAACACAGCCTATTCAGTATAACATTAGATACAGTTCAATACAACCCTACACTAAAACACTCCAAACCTACCAGAAAGAAAATAAGAAAGACTTCTTTTCATTGCATGTATCAGAAAATTTACAGAATTACCTGCAATCAAAGAGCACACTGGAAGCCTCTTTCAATTAACCTTACCTGATATTAACAGAGTAAATCAAGCTATATTTCTCCAGAAAGTATATCTATAGCTACTGCATGAATATTTAAGAAATGAAATAGCCCATTTTTTCTCTCTGCAACAGAAAGCACTGTTTCAGACCTTCTGAACAACATGCTAATCTTCAGCTTTATCATGATGTCTCCGTTTTTTCCTAACAGTTAAGTATGGATAGGTCTAGACGAAACTGTGAATCAGTGCCTTCTCCCAGATTCCTTTTCAATGCCTCACTTTCTCCTTTCACTAATACCCCAACCTCCTCCTGGGCTCTCATATTCTTTCCTGAATGTAAAAGTCTCCTCCTTCCAGCTCTGTGTCAAGTTTGTTAATTCATTCTACATTTACTGAATATTGACTATGTGCCAGGCATTAGACACTGGAGTAAGTATGCTTTTCTTTCATGCGTGAAAACAGCCATCTGTTCTGTGTTCTGTTCTCTCAGGGTCCTGTTCCTGTTATTTTAATAAAATTATTCAAGCTATGATATTGATGGGTGAAAACTGTATAATCCACTACCTTTCAAATGACGTACAGCACTTCATACTTACGTGCTGAATTTTAAGCAGCCAGGGAAATTAAGTTGAAATCTTCTTTTCTAGAATTTCTGGGGCCACGGGATGTTTCTTATGATAAAGGTGAGTACAGAAGACTTAATTGTAGCAGAACAGGTCAATGTCAGAGACACTAGGACTGGAAATTAGGCTGGCCTCCAGAAGTAAGCCCAATATTCTGAGGCCTGACAGCTTCAGGGAAAAATAGAAGGGAGAAAGGTCATTCCAGAAGGTGTCAGGGGAGTAAAATAACCTGCAACTCTCACTCTCACCTGCATTTCTGCACATAGCCTCCTTATTGGAGTGACTGCTTCCAGTCTTGCGTCTCTTTAATCTGTCCTTGATGTCACCTGGAGTGACTTTTTAAAATACTATATTTGTTAGTGACTCTACAATCAAGTGATTTAAACTTTATTATCTCCTAGTTTTGTAGATTATGAATGTGGGCATGGTTTAGCTAGGTCTCCTCATTCAGAGTCTTACACAAGGCAATAATCAAGGTGTCAGCTGAAGCTGCAGAAAACTCAAGCCTCAGCTGAAGGAGGACCCATTCACATGTTCATCCACAGGTCGTTGGCAGGACTCAGTGCCTCTTAGGCTATTCCACTAAGGGCCTCAGCTCGGCCTCGTTCCATGTTCACCTAATTGTAGTTGCTCAGTCCCCCTAATTCACCATGATTTCTCTCTGATCCAGACCTTGCACATTCTAGTTCATTCTCTGGAATTTCATTTGTAGTGAAGTGTATGCATACATGTCATACTTAAAGTTTTGGGTCTAGAAGAGATTCTCAAGAGAATAAGTATTGTCAAGTAATTAGCCTCCAACTAATAAATAAATAAATAAAAATGCTATGATGCAAAAAAAAAAAAAAGTTCTCCATTATTTTTATGTTGACTCTGTCACCAGAGTCATCAGCTACCTGTCATAAGTTACCATCTCATTGCTTTACATCCCATTGCAGCAGCAAAACTCTTCAAAAAATTGTCTGTACTCTTTTATGTAAAGCAGAGACATTACTTTGCTGACAATGGTCCATCTAGTCAAAGCTATGGTTTTTCCAGTAGTCATGTATGGATGTGAGAGTTGGATCATAAAGGATGCTGAGTGCCAAAGAATTGATGCTTTTGAAATGTGGTGTTGGAGAAGACTCTTGAGAGTCCCTTGGACTGCAAGGAGATCAAACCAGTCAATCCTAAAGCAAATCAGTCCTGAATGTTCATTGGATCGACTGATGCTGAAGCTGAAGCTCCAAAACTTTGGCCACCTGATGCAAAGAGCCAACTCATTAGAAAAGACCCTGATGCTAGGAAAGATTGAAGGCAGGAGGAGAATGGGGTGACAGAGGACCAGATGGTTGGATGGCATCACTGACTTGATGGACATGAGTTTGAGCAAGCTCTGGGAGTTGGTGATGGACAGGGAAGCCGGGTGTGTTGCAGTCCATGTGAGATCACAAAGAGTTGGACACAACTGAGTGACTGAACAACAGCAACTCTTTTGTGTTCAACGCCCACCACCTATTCTCTCTTGAAACTACTTCAGTTGGGTGTTTATCTCTGTCATGTTGTTCAATCCAATGGCCAGTTCTCTGTCCTGATAATTATTCAGTTCAGTTCAGTCGCTCAGTTGTGTCCAACTCTTTGTGACTCCATAGACTGCAGCATGCCAGGCCTCCCTATCCAACACCAACTCCCAGAGTTTACTCAAACTCATGTCCATTGAGTTGGTGATGCCATCCAACCATCTCGTCCTCTCTCATCCCTTCTCTTCCTGCCCTCAATCTGCCCCAGCATCAGGGTCTTTTTCAATGAGTCAGTCCTTCACATCAGGTGGCCAAATTCTGGAGTTAATACTTGGCTATTAGCATTTGATACAGCTGATCACACCCTCCCTCTTTGCTGTGCTCTCTTCATTTGCCTACAATGCCACACTCAACAGTTTTCCTTTAACCTCAGTGGTTACTTCCTCTTGGATTCCTTTACAGGTTCCTATTTCCTTCCAGAATAAATCCAGTACTTGATCTTTTTCTATTCTCCATCTACATTTATCCTCTTAATAGTCTCTTTCAGATTCATGACTTTAAATACCATTTATATGCTAGTAACTCCCAACTTACACCTCTAAGCTAGACCTCTCTTCTGAACTCCAGACCTGTATAATCAACCTCTTACTCTTCAGCACAACTTGGATATCATATCATACAGGGCCCAAATAAGAAACAGAGACAGGTACACTAAAATTAGAAATTTGAGGAGGCTTATTGACAAGATAACCATTCACAAAGGTGTGAGCATAGCATAGGGGCCTCATGGTACACACTGCAGTGACTGAGTCACTAGCAGCAGAGTTATCAAGACCCACAAGGATGAAGTGAGGAGGGAAAGGGGTTGTTAATAGAAACTGGAAGATGAGGACTGTGTAGATGAGACCACCAGGAAACTAGAACTATTAATAACATTGTGTTCCCCAATGACCTTGAGTAAAACCTCACTGTGAGGAAGCCAATAAAATAGATCCAGTCTATAGATCAGACTCCTTCCTCTCTAGTCTCTGTGCTCCTCATAAGCTAAACATAACCAGAGGCTGAAGGGCAAAGGGATCCCACTGATGAAATGAGCATTCATCAGTTTCCTAGGGCAGGGAGCAAAGTAAAGAAGACTAGAGAAAGGATCTCAGGGAACAGAAGGAAAATATCCTACATTCACATGTAACAGACAGCTCAAGATTAACATTTCTAAAGCTCAACATTTTCCCCCAAAACCTGCTCCACCTTTAGCCTTCCCTGTCACAGGATGGTGACTTCATCCTTCCAGTTGCTTAGACCAAATCTCTTGGGGTCATTCTTGCCATTCTTGACTCTGCTATTTCTCTCAAAACTACAGCAAATCTGTCAGGAAACTCTGTGGTCTCTATGTTTGAAATACATTCATGCCGGAGCCTGCCGGCAAACGAACTGGTCGAGAACACAATTACCAGAGTACCTAAGAAAAATAAGACTCAGAAAGACTTAGAAAGATGGGGTTGAGAGGGACGGAGTCAGCTTGCGTCTGACTCTGCCAACTTTATTGAAGAATACCACACCTATATATATGCTAACAGGAGTTACTAATAGATCAAAGGTTTGCATATGTGCAGAGCTACAGGCACAGATGTTTTAAATTCCTCCACTTAAGATCAGTAAAGCATCACCCTAGCGCCCAACATGATTAAAATCAATAGAACATTAACTAGATAGAAAACAGGCTTCAAGCACGACGAGTTTATCAGCACCAGGAAAACAGGTGAAAGGTCACCGGGGTGTTTTTTCCCTGAAGGGGACAAATGCCAGTCTATACTTTAACAAGAAGGGGTGGCAGGACAAAGAGAGACCCTTTGTTCTCTCTTAGGGCCGTAAGGGGCCTGTACGTTCAGGCCGGCTCCCTGCACATTCAGCCTCCCTATCCACAGGTTCTGCATCCTCAACCATATAATAAAAAGGAAAAATACAGAAAGCTCCAAAAAGCAAAATTTGAATTTGCCTCTCACCAGCATCTATTTTATAGCATTTATATCACATGGCTCAGATGGTAAAGAATCCAGTCCCTGGGTTAGGAAGATCCCCTGGAGGAGGGCATGGCAACCCACTCCAGTATTCTCACCTAGAGGATCCCCATGGACAGAGGAGCATGGCATGCTACATGGGGTCACAAAAAGTCGGATACAACTGAGCGACAAAGCACAGCATGCATGTGTATTTGTGAGTATTTACATTTATTTATATTGTATTAGGCATGTTAAGTAATCTAGAGATTATTTAAAGTAAATGGGAGGATGTGCCTGGGTTATATGCAATACTAGTTCATTTCATATAAAGAACTTGAGAATCCATACATTTTGGTATCCATGGGGATCCTGGAATCAATCACCTGAAGATACTGTAGGACAGCTGTATATCCAGAGGCCTAACACTTCCCAGCATCTTTGTAAAACCATTACCTCTTGACTGAACTTCCACAATAACAACAGGCAGTATTGTTAAAACATCTTTGTGGTCAACTTTCATGAAACACCTGTGTATACAGATGAACGTGGTTCCTAGTTTTGATACTTACAGTAAAAATGACATATATTTCAGCTTTTTGAATGATATTCCTGTTCTTACTCATTACCTATCTTTTTTAAAAAATAAATACAGAGTTAATACAGTTGAGAGATTGGGAACTGCCTTCAATTATATACTTACAGTTTCACACAAAAATCTGAAAAGCTCCAGGAAAACTATTTGTCTTCCCCAGCAAGTCTGTAATGGTAAATGAGGAATTGGAGGCAGATTACTAAAAATAAATCTAAATAATTCTCTTTTCTAAAACATGCTAAGCTTTGCCTGTCTAAGTCAGTTTTGGCAAAGAAACTCTAAGAGTAAAAATATGTAGATATATTTTGGAACTGTACCAGGTCCAGAAAATGCCAAGATAATTAGCAAGTTTACAAACTGGACCGTGATACCTTGTCTAAAGCAATACCTCAAACTTAACCGAAGTCTTTCCCACCTTAATGATTACCTGTTTTGGAAAACAGGTTGCTCTAGCTCTTTCAAACAGAAATTAAAGTGAAAAAATCAGCTTTTTTAACTTATAGAAAGTTATCACTCCAATGGCACATTAAATTGTAAGTATGCAAAATAAAAGCAAAATTAGTATTAATTAGAAAAGTGATATAAGATTGCCAGGAGAAATATCAATAACCTCAGAGAGGCAGATGACACCACCCTTATGGCAGAAAGTGAAGAGGAACTAAAAAGCCTCTTGATGAAAGTGAAAGAGGAGAGTGAAAAAGTTGGCTTAAAGCTCAACATTCAGAAAACTAAGATCATGGCATCTGGTCCCATCACTTCATGGGAAATAGATGGGGAAACAGTGGAAACAGTGTCAGACTTTATTTTTGGGGGCTCCAAAATCACTGCAGATGGTGACTGCAGCCATGAAATTAAAAGACGCTTACTCCTTGGAAGGAAAGTTATGACCAACCTAGATAGCATATTAAAAAGCAGAGACATTACTTTGCCAACAAAGGTCCGTCTGGTCAAGGCTATGGTTTTTCCAGTAGTCACATATGGATGTGAGAGTTGGACTGTGAAGAAAGCTGAGTGCCGAAAAATTGATGCTTTTGAACTATAGTGTTGGAGAAGACTCTTGAGAGTCCCTTGGACTGCAAGGAGATCCAACCAGTCCATCCTAAAGGAGATCAGTCCTGAGTGTTCCATTGGAAGGACTGATGCTGAAGCTGAAACTCCAATACTTTGGCCACCTCATGTGAAGAGTTGACTCATTGGAAAAGAGCCTGATGCTGGGAGGGATTGGGGGCAGGAGGAGAAGGGGATGACAGAGGATGAGGTGGTTGGATGGTATCACTGACTCGATGGGCATGAGTTTAAGTAAACTCCAGGAGTTGGTGATGGACAAGGAGGCCTGGCGTGCTGCAATTCATGGGATCGCAAAGAGTCGGACACGACTGAGCGACTGAACTGACTGATTGACTGAGAAAAGTGATCAACAGCCTAGATATATTTGGTGTGTCTCATTAAACATACAGTAGTTCTTTTAGGTTTTAAAACAGAAAATAAAAATACTACATCTTAGAATGTACAGGACTGTGTCATCTTACATTTTCACCATGATACATCAAGCTCATTTTATATTCATACCTTCATTAATAATGATCTGATAGCTTCTTTATTCTAGTCAATTATCTGTTTTCTATTCACAATGTATCCAACTTAATTTATTAAAATAAATGTATAAAATATAATAAAATGCAAGTTAAACTGAATTTTTATGACTATAACCTTTGAACTGAATTATAATAAGATCATTGCTCCCTCCCTAGGCTGTCTAGAAACTTAGTCAAATAATCAACAATTTATGTGATTTATGTTGTATATGTACTTAGTATTATAAAAATAGTAATAGCTAAATTTTGACTGGTTATTATCTTTCAACCATAGTGCAAACCAATTAAATCACATTAACTTATTAATAGTCATAACAACCCAGTAGGGTAGCTATTCATAAGTTATCCTGAAAGGCTTTAAATTAGGGTTATCTACCAATAGGCAACTTGAGGAAATTGTGTGTGTGGCATGATGGTTTATTAACTCTGAGGGTTTCTAGTACACTTCCTTCTACAGAGACACCACTTGTCCAAGGGGCAGACACTATTTCTCAGTGAGTGACAGAACGGTGAAATGTCCACCTTTTAACAAGTGAGCTATTACTGACAGATGCTCTGAAAGAGAACAGGTTCAGAGGAGTGTGGTGTTCTCAGACTCCTCAGGGAGTGACGCTTCCACTTGGAATTCTAATTTCAGTGTCTGTTACTAAGGAAGAGGAGCAGAACCTGACAGTACAGGCCGCTGAAGAGAAAGAAGGAGAAGCAGGGCTGTGAATTCCTAATTAACAGGATGTTCAGGGACACCCGTGCAAGCTTTATACCACTGCTGTGGAAGGCTGCGTTTAGAATAGACACAGAAACCACTCACTGCTATCACTAACTTCAGGAGGTAAAAAGGCAGTTTCCAAAGTTCTAGTCAGTGGTGAGAAGGGAAATTACTTCCTCTGGAAACCCTGAATCTATCTCTCTGAAAGCATTTTCATACTGTTAAATGACTTGGTTAATGGTTAGGCTCAGAGGTTCCAAAATTCAGTTTCTGAAATAAATCAAAATGTGCACTCAAGAAATGAAAGAAATAAGCAGAAATACTAAAGACCCACTGATTTCAACTATGCTAAATTCCCAGGGGAACCCAAACCCTAAGTCCCCTCTAATTATTTGGGGAAAGGTGAAAGTAACATAGATTCACCTTTTCTCTAAGAAAAATTACTGAATTTAAGTTTTTAGTGGAAATATTCATTAAATTATGCATCTGTGGGTATACACTGAAACTTTACATAGTGCTAGGCACTGCATTAGGCACAAGAGCTACCAAGAAGAAAAGCTTTCCCTGAAGTGAAAGAAACCATAGTCCATCTGGAATGAGTACAGAAATCCCTCTGATAGGCCACAGACACCAGCAAGGTTTCAAATAGTGACTTAAGGAGGTGACCAGCACTTTCAGTTAACACTGCTATGACTCACTCAAGATGTACACAAGCTGGAATAAGCATAAAATATGAACATGTACTAGAAAGACAGTAAAACTGAATGGCTAAAAATATATACCAGGCTGTATTTCCACAAATAATACTATTCATAGATGCATAAATATTATTTGAGACATGTTTATAATCACAGTTGTCCTTGAAGTTTTGATGACCTGTCAGTTGTTAGAGGGATTAGCCTTGGTCAGTATAGCTCTTGGAGAAGGAAATGGCAACCCACTCCAGTGCTCTTGCCTGGAGAATCCCAGGGACGGGGGAGCCTGGTGGGCTGCCGTCTGTGGGGTCGCACAGAGTCAGACACGACTGACGCGACTTAGCAGCAGCAGCATAGCTCTAGTATATTAACATTCAGTAGGCATCTAGAGCCAATTGGAATCATGCTGGGGGCTAAAGAAACAAAAGAAAAGACACATCTCTGGCCCCCAAGAACTCAGAGTCTGATGGGAGAGAGGGGCAAGTAAACCATCCATTAGACTACATCATATTGCTATTGCCAGCATACACATTCAGACAAACTGCTGCAGGAGCCAAAGGAAGTGACTGCTCCACCACAAGGATGAGTAACTAGGACACTCTCCATAGCTCTAGATTTAAATACCCTGAAGATAATCACAACTGTCCAACAGAGGAATAGGTCATCTAGCTACAGAGGGATCCTTCAGACCTCAAGAAATGTTAAAAAGACCCATGAACAAGATGTAGAAAATTTCTAAGAGATGACACCAGGTAACATCAAATCTTAAAAGATATTGCTCTTAAAGTGCTACATTAAATATGCTACCCAATTTGGAAAATTCAGCAATGGCCACAGGACTGAAGAAGGTCAGTTTTCATTCCATTCCCAAAGAAGGGCAATGCCAAAGAATGTTCAAACTACCATCAAACCATGCTCATTTCACATTCTACCAAGGTAATGCTCAAAGTTCTCCAAGCTAGGCTACCACAGTACGTGAACCGAGAACTTTTAGATGTACAAGTTGCATTTAGAAAAGGCAGAGAAACCAGAGATCAAATTGCCAACATCTGCCGGATCACAGGAAAAGTAAGAGAATTCCAAAAACATCTGCTTCATCATCTACGCTAAAGTCTTTGACTGTGTGAATCACAATAAACTGGAAAATTCTTAAAGAGATGAGAATACCAGACCACTTTACCTGCCTCCTGAAAAACTTGCATGCTCATCAAGAAGCAAAAGTTAGAACTGGACATGGTACTGACTGGTTCAAAATTGGGAAAGGAGTACATCAAGGCTGTATTTTGTCACCCTGCTTATTTAATTTGTATGAAGGTCAGCTCATCATGTGAAAATCCAGGCTGGTTAAATCATAAGCTGCAATCAAGGTTGCCAGAAGAAATATCAACAACTCAGATATGCAGATGATACCACCCTAATGGCAGAAAGCAAAGAGGAACTAAAGAGTCTTTTGATGAAGATCAAAGAGGAGAATGAAAAGGTTAGCTTAAAACTCAATATTCAAAAGATGAAGATCATGACATCTGGTTCATCACTTCATGGTAAATAGACGGGGGAAAGTAGAAGCAGTGGCAGATTTTATTTTCTTGGGCTCCAAAATCACTATGGATGGCAACTGTAGCCATGAAATTAAAAGACACTTGCTCCTTGGAAGAAAAGTTATGACAAACCTAGACAGTATATTAGAAAGCAGAGACATTACTTTGCCAACAAAGGTCCATCTAGTCAAACCTATGGTTTGTCCAGTAGTCATGTATGGATGTGAGAGTTGAACCATAAAGAAAGTTGAGCACTGAAGAATTGATGCTTTTGAACTGTGTTGTTGGAGAAGACTCTTGAGAATCTCTTGGACTGCAAGGAGATCCAACCAGTGCATCCTAAAGGAGATCAGTCCTGAGTGTTCATTGGAAGGATTGATGTTGAAGATGAAACTCCAATACTTTGGCCACCTGATGTGGAGAGCTGACTCATTTGAAAAGATCCTGATGCTGGGAAAGATTGAAGGCAGGAGGAAAAGGGGATGAGAGGATGAGATGGTTGGATGGCATCACCAACTCAATGGACATAGGTTTGGGTAGACTCTGGCATTGGTGATGGACAGGGAGGCCTGGCATCTACAGTCTATGGGGGTCGCAAAGAGTCGGACACGACTGAGCAACTGAACTGAAC